GAAAACAGCCTGCTTGGATTTTATGCCCTGGGTGCCGTGGAACCCCTTGGACTAAAGTGTTGAAGGAATCCTGTTACTATGAGAGTGACTGGAACAGAGTCCTGGCTGGGCCGACCAGTTCCCTCCTTATCCCAGGATGTGGTGTTCCCAGCACATTCCAGTTATTTTCTTGAGAAGTACAAGTGAGAAAAGGGGAAAACTGGGTTGGTCCAAGGCCACCTGAAGGTGGTCCTGCAGATGGATGGGTAGGTGAATGGGTATTTAAGAGTCTCCTTTTCCTGTCCTCTGGAAGAGTAGATGTAAGATCAGAATAATCTATTCCTTGACTAGGAAGACTCTCCTGGGCCTCCATTTCAACTGAGTCTTGAGATTTATTGGCAAAAGTGAATAGTGTTGTCTTACGATCTTTTTCATCTCTGCTGCTGTGCCTACAGTCGAGCCTCCCTTTTCACTCCTGGTGTTGTTCATTGTACCCACTCTTCAGTTTTCCTAATCAGTCCTGCCAGAATATGTCTATTTCATTAGTCATTTCAGAGAATCAAATTTCAACTATAGCATCCATTTTGCTTTTTGAAATTTATTTGCATCTGCTTTTCTGTATTTTTTTTTCCTTCTTTCTTTAGGACTACTCTATTCTCTAGCTAAAATTGCATACTTACTTTTTACTCTTCTTTTCTGATGTGGGCATTGAAACTGAAAGCAACCCAAGCACAGTGTTCAGTATCAGCTCATAACCGTGATGTGCAGCAGTTTCATTATTTTTAGTTCTAAGCGTTTCCTAATTCCCATTATGATTTCTTCTTTGACCCATAAATCGGTGTGCTTTTAAATTTCCAAACATAAGGAATCATGGTTCTCTTTTTGTTATCAATTTCTAACAAAGTACACTGTGGTAAGGAAAGGCAGTCTGATTGACTTTTTTTTTTTTTTTTTTTCTTTTTGTGGAGATTTGCTTCACGGGCCAGTGCGTGGTCAACCTGCGGAGACATCCACATATGGTTGAGATCATGCATCTTCTCTGTTTTGCAGAGTTCTGTTTACATCCACTAAACTGAGCTTGCTGATTGTGTTGTTCACATTTTGGTTTTCTTGACTGATTTTTTTGTCTGCTTGTCTGCTGGATCTAAAAGACATGTCAACATGTCTCACTGTGATGGTACATTCATTTTCAATCATGTCTCTGTTCAGTTCCTCTCCTTTTTACATTAGAGAGTTTAGGGCTGTTTTACAAGTATAGACAATTGAAATCATTATATCCTTTTGATGAATTGAAGTTTTATCATTGTGTAGTAGCCTTCTTTGTATCCCTAAATCTCTTGTGCCCAATATCGAAGTTACACCAGCCTCTTTGTGGTTGGGTTTGTCTGTGGCATCAGTTTCCATCCGTGACTCTCAACCTTCCCTGAGGTTTTAGATGTTCTTTTATAGACAGCATAATGCTGGATGTTACGTGATTTTTATATCCAATCCAGCAGTCTGTACTTTAAGTGGAAACTTTGATCATTTATAGTTCATTTGATTACTTTTTTTCAGAGTTATTTTTGCCACCATATTCTGTTCTTTGTCCCCATTTTCCATCGCTCTTTCCTTTTTCCTTTTCTTGCCATCTCTTGACATGGTTAAGGGTGCCGGGCATTCCACTTATTCCCTCTGCTTAGTCCAATGATATACAGTCTATTTATTTTTTATTTTTTTCAGTATTGATCCATAAAATTTTGAACATTTGTTCCTAACAGCAGTTAGCGTCCTCACCCTTCCCACACAAGCCAAGGCCTAGACTGAGTTAGCACCAGTTCAGGTCACCAGAGTGAACACAGGATGCCCAGGTGGATATTTTATACTAAAAAATGACTTGTTTGTCAGAAATTCAAATGCAACTAGAGTCCTAAATGCTTGTTTGCTAAATACAGCAGGCCTCGCCCTAGTGCCCCCTCCCAGGTAGTGTACCGTCATTGACTGGTATTTTGTTTCCTTCTGTCTTTCTTATTTCACTGAATAGACATTATTATTGTTAATATATGTCATCCTATTTATCTGAGCTTTCCTGCATTTATGTGTGTTTTTGTTGTTGTTGTTCGTTTGTTTGCTTTTGTCATCATCCCTTCTCATTCCCCAGACTGTCTTCTTGGATCATTTTAATTCTGCCTGAAGTACATCTTGTAGAATTTCCCCTAGGAAAGGACTCATGTAGTCCTCCTCCTGTGACCATCCTCAGTTTGTTTTTGTTGGGTGGGGTGGTCTTTATTTTACCCTTGGTCTGGAATGATAGTTTCACTGGACATATGATTCCTGGTTGACAAATATTTTCTCTCAACACATTGAAGATCTCAAGCCATTGTCTTCTTGCTTCCATTTCTATGAGAAGTTGGTGTGTGACTGATGGACACCCCTTTGAAGAGTATCTGTCTGTTTCCTCTAGCTGCTTTTAGAATTTTCTATTTGTCATTGATATTCTGCAGTTTTACCCTGATGTGCCTAGGTATGGATTTCTGATTTTATTTTCCATGCTTGGGGTCTTAAATCTTCCAGATCAGATTCAGTAATCTCTGGGTTTTTTTCATCATACATAAATATCTTACTTTTATTCTTAATACATATTTATGTATATATTAAGATGTTTATTGTATAATTTACAACTGACATGTTAATAACAGCAGTCTTTAAGGATGTAGATCTGCATTTTAATAAGCTTTTTTGGGACCGGGTTTGGTGACTCAGCCTGTAATCCCAGCACTTTGGGAGACCAAGGCGAGTGGATTGCCAAAACCCATGGGTTCGAGACCAGCCCGGGCAACTTGGTGAGACCTTGTCTCTACAATAAAATAAAATAAAATAATTTTTAAAATAAACTTTTTGGTTTGGGATAATTTTAGATTTACAAAACAGTTGTAGAGATAATACCTGAGTTCCTGTATACCACTCAGAAAACTTCCTCTGTGGTGAACTTCTTATGTTGGTATGAGTCATTTGTTGCGACTTAGAAACCAGCATTGGTCCATGACTATTAACTAAACTCCAGAATGTATGTTGGCTATCACCAGCTTTTCCATAACTGCCCTTTTTCTGTTTCAAGGTCCCATCTGGGGTCCCACTTCACATTGAGTCATCTTGTGTCCATATCTAACCTGACATTTTCTCAATCTTTCATTGCTTTTCACAGTTCTTGCAACTTCAAAGAGTTATTGGTCAGGTATTTTGTAGAATGTCCCTCAATTTCTATTTAAGTTTTAGAAATTATTCTTGTGACTATGAAATTGAGGGAGGGTGGTCACAGGAATGAAAGCGTCTTTCTCATATCAGGGGTACACACCATCCACATAACTTACCACCTTGAGGTGACCTTGGTTAGAATGGCATCTGTCAGATTCCTCCACCATAAAGCAGCCCTTTTAATCCCTTTCCAGTGAACTCTTTGAAAGAAGTCACTAAGTCAGCTTACATTCAGGGGACAGAGTAGAAGAGATGTCCTGGAGAGGGGATTAGATGCGTAAATTATATGAAATTATTCTCTAAGAGATTGGTCTCTTCTCCCTCATTTATTTATTTGGTCCATATGAACTTGTGTATATTCGTCTTATATTTTGGGGCATAATGCAATACTGTGTCATTTGTTTCAGCTTGTTCCACTCTGGCCATGGGGTGCTTTTTCAGACTGGCCCTGGGTGTCCTGTGATGTGCCCCATCCCTTGTCCTTTGGCACATTCTGATTTTCTGGCTCCACAACATGCTCCAGGCACCTCCTGTTTTTTTTGTTTGTTTGTTTGTTTTGTTTTATTTTTTTGCCCGAGTCTTGGAACAGGCTGTTTCTCCAAGAAGCCCAGCTTCCTTTCACTGGAGAACAGTATTAGAAACCGTTTTTGTTTCTTTGGACCCTAGTTCATGCTGGCTCACATCTATGCTGTGTGACTTTTTGATCAGGGAGCTCATGCTTCTCAGAACTTGACTAACAGCACTCCATCTGTTGCCTGGTGTGGGGGCACAGGCCTCACAGAGGGTCTAACATTGCCTCTGTGTGGTGCCTACTGTAAATAGCAGCTATCCTCTTGCAGTGTCTAGAACCAGGCAAATTCTCAGGGTGACTTTGTCTTTTTCATTCTATTCAGAGCCAAACTAAAGACAAAACTTTCCCTACTGGTGGTCTCTGGGCAATTGTTGATGTATGTGCCTGTTCCCCTTTGCCCATCCTTCCTGAGAGTGGTCATTCCAGCCCCAGCTGCATAGCCCAAGGTTTGCCCAGGATGTCTGGGAACATCAGTGCTCTGGCCTCTCTGGTCAGGTTCCACTTTATTCTTGGCCCAGGCCATGTGCCCTGATTTTGTAGGCTTGTCCAGTTATTTAAACTTTTTGAAATTGTGTTTTAATCAACCATTTTTCATTCAATCACTTTTAATTGTCATGTTGTAGATGCTCTGGTTTCCCTATTGCCCTGTAATTTACTTGTGAGTTTAATTCCTGTTTTTATCTGCTGCCAGTACTTAGTTCAGAGAAAAATGTAGTACACAGGATTCCATCTATGAGAGATCTGCTCTCTTCCTTCCTTTCATTTGCCTCCCCCCACTTTTACTGGGAGAAATCCAAGGTCAGGGGATAGTCAAACATTTGTATTACAAGATACGAATGTGAAAGTGAGATTTCCAAACAATCACTTCCCCTAGCATGACCCGGAGGTGTAAATAATAGATACCAAGCTGACATCCTGGTACCAGCCCGCTTTTGGGGACCATAGTTCTTTCCACTACTTACAGGAACCCATGATGTACCTTACAGTCTTCTAAGAATACATATCTAAAGAAAATAAATCGATTGTTCTAAGAAATAATGTATATAATATGTACTAAAGCCACATGTGACTTTTTAAAGTTATTTTCTCTTTGGGCAAATGCACTTCACAAATAACTTTACTCTATGCTTAGGAAGTAAATACTGTCTCTGAACATCCCATTGTAATGCACACGTGGGTTATACTGACATCCTTTATATTCACTATATATTTTTTTCAGCTTGATCCTCTCCCAGAAAAGATTTTACAGCAAAGACCCAATGCTAACGCTGTCCGGTCCATGGAGAAGGTCGTGGAAATCCACAGTAAGTTGCCTGACCGAGTACTCACAGGGGAGGCACTCTTGGGACAGGACTCCACTGCCCTCCATCCCTGCCCCCCCCCCCCCGCCCCGGGCTCCTCTCCATTCCAGGCCTACAGGACAAGGCCCTGCTTCCAACTGCATTGGATGAGCAGGGAGATGCTCACTTAACCCAGAGGGTTTTGCCCACAACCTATTGGAATGGTTTTATCATCTCTGTTTTACAGATCTAAAGAATTGAGGCCCAAACAGCTTGGCGTAAAGGCACTTGCTACAGGTCCCCAGCTCTCAGAGATGGTCATGGCTGTAAGCCTGGGTCCTGGAGTCTGGCCTCTTCCCTGGACCAGAGGAGCCCACATCCTGAGCTCAGAAAACCATTGGCCCCACAGAGGACCAGGCAGGGTACAGGTCCTCTGTTTCCGAGCACTGCCCCTCAAGCAGTGGTCCTGGGGCTGAAGGGTTGGCACACGGCCTGTCTGAAGTGCACCTGCCATACCCTGTCCTCATCACAAGCCCAGCTTTTCTTAGGCATTTGAGATGACCCAAATGGTTGGGACTGTCCATGTAAGTGGGTGAAAATAAGAGGTCTGCTCCCTTTTCCCTGCATAAGGGTGATCCTGGCCTCAGAGCCCTAGAGCTGACCCTGGACTGGGTCCAGCCCTCAGTGCATCCCCCCTCATGCTCAGGCCTGATACAGAGACCCCCTCACTTCTGTGAGTTCCCAGGCAGGGACCTCAGCCCCAGCGACAATCCCCCGGCTCACCAGAGACAGGAAAGGCTCAGTGGCACCAGGCCTGCAGCCTCCACTCCCAGCTACCAGGGCAAGAAAGGGGCCTGTGAGTGTTGAGGCCCCCACGGAACACCCACCTGCAGTCCTAGGTGATCCTTCTTCCAGGAGGCAATGATTCCACTAGGCATGTGGACACATTTCCAAAGATTCCCTGTCTTTGTGAGTTGTAACCATGTGGTTTTCTGCCTTCTGTCTCTTAAAAGAGAAATGTCTCTAAAATCACGAGTGATAAATTCATTTGAGGCCCAGGGTCTCACAGGGACCTTCTCGGGCCTCCATGTGACTTGTTGAGTCGTAGTCACTGAGCAGCTTTCCTCGCCCCCAGGCAAGTACTGGCGTTGCCTGCAGCGGGCAGCCTCCACAGCAGGGCATTCTCTGATTGAAGCTCAGAAGTGTGAGAACGAAGAAGCTGAGACGGTCACTGCCATGGCCTCACTGTCTGTGGGCGTGAAGCCTGCTGAGAAGAGGTGAGTACCCTCCCCGCCCTCTGCCTGCCAGGTTGCTGAGCCCTGCTGTGACCGGTGACACTTTGCAGCACCCTGTGGTCAGACCCTTTACCTCACACCCTGCTAAGTGCCAGGGCTGGCCGGAGGGCGGGGGAAGGGAATGGACACCAGACGCACCCGTGGAGTCTAGAAACCAGCTAGCAAGAAAGCCCCTTAGAGATGCTTGAGAAAAGTGTACTCCTGAACAAATGGACCCACTGCTGCTTGGCTGGGGGCCCGGGTGGGGCTGCAGGCTCAGGTGTATGAGGACAGTTGCCACCACTTCATGCAGTCTCTCACCCACGTTCTGTTCTCTCTCCCATGCGTGACCTGCCCCACACCCTTCCTCCTCCTCCCGGGTTACGGCCACAGACCAGATGAGGAGCCCATGGAAGAGGAGCCGCCCCTGTAGCATCTCCGAAGCTGCTGTTCTCTTGTCTGTCTGTCTCTGTCTTGAAGCTCAGCCAAGAAACTTTCCTGTGTCACGCCTGCGTCCCACCGCAGGGCTCTCTGGGAGTGCCCAGGGACACCTGGCGTGCAGCAGCCACAGGAAGCCTTTCTGCCGCCCGGGTCCACAGGTCTGGAGATGCACATGCACACCCCGGGCGTGGCAGCCTCACATGGAACACGGGACAGACGCCGGCGACGCGCAGGCACACGGACACGCGGAAGCCAAGCACACTCTTGCGGGTCCCATGAGGGATACCGCAGAAGAAAAGCCTGTGGCAACTGGTGGCAGAGCTGCTGCATTTAGTTGACACGAGGAAAAGAAAATGAAAATCAAAGATCTAATAATACAAAACAAACTTGATTAAAACTGGTGCTTAAAGTTTGATTATAACCCACAATTCCACAGTCTCCGTGTAAACCACTCAACTCATCTTGTAGCTTGTTTTTTTTTAAAAAGAGGACGATTTCTTTGGCTCAGGCCTGCCTCTGTGAACCATAGCAGTGTATGGTAGGGGGTCTGCACCCGGGTGGGGGACAGAATGGATGAACCTTTAAAAAACTGGACAAAAACAGGAATATGAGCCTGGGGGAGTCGGCTTGAGTTTCTCAAAGCCATCGGAAGATGCGAGTTTGTGCCTTTTTTTTATTGCTCTGGTGGATTTTTGTGGCTGGGTTTTCTGAAGTCTGAGGAACAATGCCTTAAGAAAAATAAACAGCAGGAATTGGTGGGACAGTTTCCTGTGGCTGACTGAGTCTGGCGGTGCCCAACTCCGTGAGCTGGCTTGGTGCTCCTGGTGCGGGCACCGGTGGCCGCCTCCGGGGCTAGGGGCTGCAGCCTGGCAGTCCTTGTTTTGCTTTATTGCTGTTTAAGAAAAATGGAGGTAGTTCCAAAAAAAGTGGCAAATACTGTTGGGGATTTTGAAGTCCAACAAATTTTAAATGAATCCAAAGTGTTCTTTTCTCATACGTCACATAACAATGAGCATCTCCATTTGGTTGTAAAGCATGTCGTAGGCACACTTGCAGTGTTACGATCGGAATGCTTTTTATTAAAAGCAAGTAGCATGAAGTATTGCTTAAATTTTAGGTATAAATAAATATATATATGTATAATATATATTCCAATGTATTCCAAGCTAAGAAACTTGATTCTTATGAAATCTTGATAAAATATTTATAATGCATTTATAGAAAAAGTATATATATATATATATATAAAATAAATGCAGATTGTGGAGGTCCCTGCAAATGGATGACTTGTGAATTAGCTCTAAAGGTGCTTCTGGAAAGGGATCTTGATTGAAATTTGTGTATTTTTGAGCTCCAGATTGGCTAGCTTTCAGATCGCCAACACATTCGCCACTGGGCAACTACCCTACAAGTTTGTACTTTAATTTTAATTATTTTCTAACAGAACCCCTTTCCTCCCCAAGCCTCCATGCACATATGTACCTAATGAGTTTTTATAGCAAAGAGTATAAATTTGCTGTTGATTTTTGTATGAATTTTTCACAAAAAAAAGATCCTGAATAAGCATTGTTTTGTGAATTTCACATTTTTCCTCACCATTTAGCAATTTTCTGAATGGTAACAATGTCTAACTCTTTTTCCTTTCCGAATTCTTGCTTGTACATTTTTTTTTAACTTTCAAAGCTTTATTATTTTTGTTTTTGTTTATTTTTGTACAGTGAGCAGTTCTCTGCAGCGTACGGAGTTGTTGCTGTCAGAGTTTATTTTCAAAAAGTGAGAAGAGAGGGACCTTAGGTCTTCTCAGAGTGACGATCATCGACTGTGTCTTTCCTAGTCTGTTCCAGGAGCTGTATACAGACGCCGAGGGGCTCGTCTTACCTTCAACACTAGTAGTATTACAAGGGGGTGGTGTATTTTCTCCTCCATGGCCAGTGCGGGGAGAGCTGTGCAGACAGCCACCCTAGGAGGCTTTCCAGACACCGTGGGCAGTGAGCATTAATGAAACTCATGTTTAAACTTATCTGACCACATTGTCAGCATAGAATTCTAACTTCAGTTTTCCAAAGACCTTGTAAGCATGTCAGCAATGCATGGGGCACGCCTGGGGCTCTTCACCCACTTGGGTTTTTCTGCTGCAGCCACATGGCCAGGGCTCTGGCCAGAAGTGGCCGGCCCTGGATTTTGGAGCCTGTGTCTGCCAGAACCCAGGAGCCCATGCTGCCTGGTGAGCCTGCAGGGAGAGTACTGATTCCTGTCCAGGACAGCCAGTCTTCACTCTTTTTCTCTTCAACAGTAACTGACAGTCACTTTTTACTGGTAACTTCTTTTCCAGCACATGAAGCCACCAATTTCATTCCAAAGCATATCGGGTTCAGACTTGTGGACAGAAGTTCAGACACACCATGCTCAGAAGGGACCCCGAGCCAAATTTCTGAGTTTGGTAAAGTTTACAGGGTAGCTTCTGAAGGAGACACTAAGTCAGTCAGATTTTTGACCAAATGAGTGCAAATTCTTGGATTCACTTGGTTGTTGGGCTGCTGTCGGTCAGCTCTGAGACAGTGGTTTGAAAGCAGGACAGAAAGGTCTTGGGACTTGTTTGATTTTTCTCCTCCCTTGTGGCCACTCTTTGCTCCGAAGCCCAGTTTGGCAAGAGGAGCTGGCACATAGAAGCCGACTTGGCCTTTTGCCCCTTCACGGCACAGAGCAGTCGCAGGGCCCCGCTGGCTGACTCTTCCGGCCTCTTCGGCCCCACTCTCCGTATGGCCCGGGGGACCCAGGCACCTGCTGTCTTACCCAGCCATGGCTCGTGGGGAGGAACACATCATCTCACTTTTTTTTACAGATGATGGGATAACATGGACCACTCAGTGGCCTGGTTATCATTGGAAGGATTTGGTTCTAATCTCAGTCAGATGGAGACGTCCTCTGCGTAAAGGCCTTGTGGGAGGAGGCGTATTTCATTTGTCAGCTCACTCCAGCTTCACAGACGTGCTGAAAGCATTACCGTGTAGCCTTTTCTTTGAAGACACACTCAGCCCTTCTCCACGGCCAGCATCCAGGGCAGATGGCGGAGGGTCTGCCTCAGCGTCTGTGGGCAGGACCACATCAGTGAGGGTTCTTTCACGTGCTTTCCCTCTTTGGTCCTTGAACCTTCAGCCTTTATCTTCCTTTGCAAAGGCCTTGGGGGACACTGGCCGGGGAGTCAGCAAGCAAGCACTTTATATCCCTTTGAGGGAAACCCCAATGACGCCACCGGGCCTCGTGGCGTCCACCCTGCCCTCACGGTTCCAGCCACGCCACGACGTGCCCACGCCCCACCAGCAGGTGGCCATCCCAGAGGCCACGCCCACTGGGACTGGCCCCACCTCCCGGTGTCCCAGGGCTCCAGTTCGGGAGGACCATTTTGTCAAAGTGTTTCAGTTTTTCTTTACTTTTAAAAACCTGTTTCCAAGAGGAAGGACCATTTGTAACGGTCTGACACAAAAGCAAGTTTGATTTTTGCAGCACTAGCAATGAACTTTCTTGTTTTTATTTTCGATCAGAACATTCCTTCTTTCCTGGTCACAGCCATGTGCTCATTCCATTCTTCTTTTTGTAGACTTTGGGCCCACGTGTTTTATGGGCATTGATACATATATAAATATATAGATATAAATATATATGAATATATTTTTTTAAGTTTCCTACACCTGGAGGTTGCATGGACTGTACGACCGGCATGTCTTTATATTGTATACAGATTTTGCACGCCAAACTCGGCAGCTTTGGGGAGAAGAAAAATGCCTTTTTGTTCCCTTCTCACGATTTGCAGATACAAAAGATGGAGATTTTTCGGTAAAGCAAAACCTTGAAGGAAAGAAGGGGGGGAGGTTTGCGTCTTATTGAACTTATTCTTAAGAAATTGTACTTTTTATTGTAAGAAAAATAAAAACGACTACTTAAACATTTGTCATATTAAGAAAAAGAAGTTTATCTAGCACTTGTGACATACCAATAATAGAGTTTATTGTATTTATGTGGAAACAGTGTTTTAGGGAAACTACGCAGAATTCAAAGTGAACTGCCTGTCTCTCTTGAGTTGATTTGGAGGAATTTTGTTTTGTTTTGTTCTGTTTGTTTCCTTTTATCTCCTTCCACGGGCCAGGCGAGCGCCGCCTGCTGGCCCTGGCCTTGTGACCGTTGATTCTGGTTGAGAACCGGGCGGGCTCTCGAGAGTCCCGTTTTCCGCACAGATGTGTTGACTTTTTTAATTACTTTTAGATGATGTATGGCTAAGATTTCACTTTCAGCAGTCGTGAACTGTGCGAGCACTGTGGTTTAAAATTATACTTTGCATCGAAAGGAAACCATTTCTTTATTGTAATGAAGCCGAGCCTGTTCTCAGCTCAGCCTCACTTTGTCTCTGACATTGATTAAAAGTCTATTGAAAGAAAATGAAAGCGAACAGTGTGTTTGTTGATTGGATGGTGTGTGCTCCATTGTGGAGACACCATTTTCCAATATGTAAGAATAACAAACATATAATATATATATACATACATATCTATAAGGGGGCTTGAACCTTATGCACCCAAGAGCTTATTGTGAACGTGTGGTAGAAAACAGTGGTGGCGACCCTGTGTTCTCCTGACGTCTGTTCAGGCCTAGCATGGGATCCACGCTGGTAGCGACCACCAGTTTCTTCTGTAATTCAGTCTGTTCTCTCTTTGATTGTCTGGAGTTTCCCCATGATTCTTTCTTTTGTTCAGTGGAGTTGGAGTTTTGTGTTTGGTTTTCTCATCCTTGTTTTGTTTCATGTGGTTGAGTTTTCACTGACCAACGGAATCCTCTTATGGTCAACCTCTCTTTCCGCCTCACCGGAGTCCAGTATTCTGTACCACATCATATGACTTGTTACTCTTGTGGTGTAAATAAAGACTGCATTAATTGCCCTCCTATCTCTGGTTTCTGCCCGTGCACTCTCTTCCTCGGTGGCTGTTGTGTGCCTGGGACCCTGGGGACCAACCCACCAGTGCCCCAGATTCCATCTGATGGCTGGATGAGAATTATTGGGCCCAGTAGAGACGGCCCCTTGGAAACCAGACCAGTGGCAGACATGTCACCCTCTGCCTATACAATCTGGTCCTATGGGAGTGTCTTTGTTTTAAATGTCCAATAATTTAAATTCTTGTACTAGTTTGTCCCTTCGAATACTTAGCAAGCCAGGTGTGGGGTATCACACCTATAATTCTAGCACCTTGGGAGGTGGAGGAGGGAGGATCACTTGAGCCCAGAAGTTTGAGACCAGCCTGGGCAACATAGGGAGACCTCATCTCTAAAAAACATTTTTAACAATTAGCCAAGCGTGATGGCATATGCCTATAGTCCCAGCTACTCAGGAGGCTGATGCAGGAGAATCACTTGAGCCCATCGGTTGGAGGCTGCAGTGAGTCGCGATTGTGTCACTGCTCCAGTCTGGAAAATAGAGTGAGACCCTGACAAAAAAATGATCTGGGCTGGAAACAACCTCAGACAGAACAAGGCCAAAGGGAGGGGGTCTCGGGCTCAGAACCACCTCCCCACATCCAGACACACATCCCTCTGAGACTCAAGTTTGCAAATACCAACAGACCCCGGTAACACCCCTTTCTGGGCACCTGCACCCAATGTCTAATCAGCTGGGTGGGGGATGTAAAGGCCACGCCACCTTGACCCAACGTGGGACAACCCAAGACTCGTTAGCTCCAGAGCCTCGTGGGGCCTACTTCACTTGGCTTCTCCTCTCCTGCCACAGCTGCTGACACCAAGGGTACTCCTTAAACATCAAACCCCATCTCAGTCTGCTTCCTGGAAACCCAGCCCAGAGCACCCAGGTCACCCCTGAGCCCCAGAAAGGCATGTGGGCAGAGCTGCCTGGCTGGCCTCAGACACAGCCTCACACAGGTGGCCCCAAGTGTAAGAAGAGCTGCTTGGAGCCTGAAGCCACCAAGTGTGAGGTGGTTTGTTATGCAGCATCCTTGCAGCAGTAGCTGACTAATACAGGGATGTGAAAAGGAAAGAGGCTAGAGTGGACCCAGGGCCTCCCATGATTATGCTCATTATTTGCAAGGCCACAGGGATGTAATTACCCAACATGGGAGAATATTCTTTTAACAGGAGTTCTCATCTCTCCGACAGGAGGAAGAGAAAACTTAGGGTGTTTCCAGCTCTAGGCCAGGAGGTTTTAGGGACAGACTTCCTCAGCATCATCACAGAGGAGGGTTTGTGACACATCTGTGGGATCATTTTATCTGAAAAGTATTTGTAATGATAATTGCAAAGCATTAATGCTTTTTTTTTTTGAGTTGGAGAGTCTCATTCCGTTGCCCAGGCTGGAGTGCAGTAGCTCATGTCCACCCCAGCGTCAACCTGCTGGGCTCCGGTGATCCTTCCACCTCAGCCTTCCAAGTAGCTGGAACTACAAGCGTGCACTACCACGCCCGGCTCATTTTTCTTTTTATTGTAGAGATGATGTCTTGCCAAGTTGCCCAGACTGGTCTCGAACCCATGGGCTCAGGCAATTCACTCACCTCGGCCTCCCAAAATGCTGGGATTATAGGCTGAGCCACCCAACCTGACCTTTTTTATTAACCTTATAAAACCATATTAAAGAAAGAAAGAAACAGGCCTACCTGGGCCCAACATAAAGATTGGACACACACTCACATTTTGTCATAAATGTTCTAACCAGTAAAATGTGACAGATGCAGCACAGCCCACATTCTGTCTCCTCCCCCTTCCCAGGAGTCAACATCACCCTGACTTGGCGTATAGACTTCTTGTCCATGTTTTGACTTTTTTGTTGCATATTTCCTCTCTATAAAAGTAAATCTTAGTGTTTATTATATATTTATAATATGTGGTGTCTGCCATAAATATCTTTGCTTCTTGCTTTTTTTGACCCAGTGTTGTGTTGTTGAAACTTCTTCCCATGCGTACACACACCTCTAAGTCATTCATTGGAGGTCTGTGTGGTATTTCATTACATGACTGTCTCACAGCTACATGACCCATCCTTCTTTTGATAGATGTGTAAGTTGTGCCAAATTTTTTCTCCCGCAAACAATAGTGAGCTGTTTCCTTGTGTCTTTCCTGAAGCACATCTGTGAGGGTCCCTCTCCACAGTGTCACCTACGTGAGATAGTGACAATCACCCTCTGTGGTGACCACACCCATTTTCCCTCCCACTAGCATGGATTGATTGATGATTGATTGATTGATTAGGTCAGGCTTTGGGTTTCCATGTTGTCATCAACACTTATTATTACCAGACTTTCTAGCTTTAGCCAATATGAAGAGTATGATATTGCATTCGTTCTTGTTTTGATTGGCATGTTTACTGGTTTTAGTATTTTATCTTTTGCTGTGTCACAAATTACCTCAAAACTTAGCAGCTTCAAGCAGCAGATTTTGTTTAGCCATGCCTCTGGTTCAGGGTTTTCCTTGAGGGTCCCGTCAAGCTGTCAGCCAGGGCTGTCTGAAGGTTCAGCTGGAGGGATGCTGAGGAGTGGGGAGGGGATCTCCCTCCAAGCACAGCCATGGCTGTGGGCAGGCTTTCTCTTCCCCTTTGAGTCTCTCTACAGGGCTGCCCTGGGACCCATCCGCCGGTGTCCCCCACAGCAAGTGATCCAGGAGCGAGTTGACAGGGCATCCCTGAGTCGGAGTTATATTCTTCATAGCCTAATCTTGGAAGTGACTTCTCATCACTTCTGACGTGTCCATGACCTAGGAGCTAGCCCAGGAGGCCGCCCCACACTCATGGGGAGGGGATTCCAGGAGGCTGCCTACACAGCTAGTGAGGCCAATGATCTTTTTCATAGCTTATTTAATTTGGTTTCTCAGCAAATCCTATCAGTTTTGCCTTTTCAATGCCTCTGTGGGATCCCGCGACCTCCTGGCCACGCCCCCTTCTCGCCTAGCCACGCCCCCTTCTCGTTCCTGCTCCCTCACCGCAGCCTATCCCTCTCCCCCTCCTGGTCCCTGTGCCTCTTAGTCCTTTAGCTCTGACTACAGAAGCCAGAAGGATCCTGCCAATACCTGAGTAGGATCAGGCAGCCCTCCTGCTCAAAGCCCCGCTCAAACTCCCAGATACGAGTTGTGCCTCCCCTGGGCTTGTCTGTCTGATGCACTAGAATATAACCTTTCAAACTGGCCTACACATACACCAGACATAATAGTTCCCCAGTAAACAAGTTGAATGGCTGATTTGGGGCTCCATCTTCTCGACCCAGTTACCTGTTAGTTTGATTATCAGGGCAGTGAACTGGAAAGTTTTGAAAAATATTTTGGAGGCTAATCCTGTGCCCATTATAAGTTTCAAATATCATCTTCTGGTCTTTAGATTCTACTCTCTCTCTTTTTAATGGAACAAGCCAAACACAGAAGTAGAAAGAAGAGTACCGAGACCCCATGTGCTCATCAGCCTTCAGCAGCTGTAAACACACTCCCAGATTTGTTTAGTCTATGTCCCTCCTCTCCCCAAACAGCATTGTTTGGGGATTAAAGCAAATCCCAGACATCGTATCATTTCATCGGTAAATATTTCATTAGAGTTCTCTCAAAGATGAGGACTCTTTTCTACGACATAACATAATACCTAGCGTGTTCTAGAAATGGATAATTCCATAATATCACCAAATATATCCAGCCAATGTTGAGATTTTCCCCCCTTGCCTCGTTTTTCTTTAGTTTATTTACTTGTTTGCTTTTTACAGTTGGCTTGTTTTAATCGGGATTCAAACAAGGACTTCATATTGCATTTGATTGGCATGTCCCCTAAGTCTCCTTTTAACCTGTGGGTTCCCATTTTTATTTTTCTTGCAATACATTTGTGGAATAAACCAGGCCACTTGTGCATCCCCACCATATCCTCTAGCCTGTTCCTCCTACAAGCACAGGAGGGAGGGGTAGAACTAGACCACTGGCCAATTCAGGCTCAAACCTTGGGCAGGAGCCCCTCATAAATGGGAGCCCATGTCCTCTTTGATGAATGGACCCATTGTTTCACTGGGGGTTCAAAGAGGGCCCCCAGAAAGCCGGCCAACCCAGCCATCCCATCTTCACAAGTTAGATATTTAAATGCACTTGAGGCTGGTCATGGTGGCTCATGCCTATAATTCCAGCACTTTGGGAGGCTGAGGTGGGAAGATTGCTTGAGCCTAGAAGTTCGAGACCAACCTGCACAATATAGCAAGACCTCTACAAAAAATTAGCTAGGCATGGTGACATGTGCCTGTAGTCCCAGCTACTCAGGCGACTGAGACGGGAGGATCACCTGAGACCAGAAGTTTGAGGCTGCAGTGAGCCATAATCATGCCACTGCACTCCAGACTGGGTGACAGAGTGAGACCCAACTCAGAAAAAAAAAAAAGAAGAAGGAGAAGGAGAAATGCATCCAAGTTTACAAAAGATAAGCAATTATTATCAAGCTTCTAGGCCAACACCTTTTTTCAGAAAAAAAGTAAACATTTAAAGGTCACAGTTACACATGATCTTAGCCAAAAGACTGAGAAGTGATTAAAGGTCACAATTATAAATTGAACAGGCTTTCCACTTCACCTCTCATTGATACTAAGACTTTTAGCCAAGAATTTAAGGGTGGTAATGTTATATGGTTTAAGTGACTACAGGAGACTTGAAGTTTTATTTTACAGTGCACTTAAAATTCCTACTTAAAAGAAACTCCTTAGTCAATTAAACTATTTTATTGATTTAAATTTAAAAGCAACAACATATTTTATTTTTCTGATGGTAACACACATTCCAATTGGAAAATAAATTTGTATAAAAATGTGGGATAAAGTATCATTTTAATTCATGTGAGTATTGGGATGTATGCATAAAAAGTTAAATGGGCTCAGTGTTCTCAGTTTCTTGTGCTGCTTAAAAGTTTTTATCTGATATTTGAGTGTATCGCCGG